GGCTGAAAGGGCGAGCATGTTTGGTGGGATGCGGATTCGAACCCGCGACCCTCAGATTGTGAGTCGAGCGCCTTATCCACCTGGCCATGCCGGGCACACAAAATGTTTGTGTGTTTTCATTTTGAGAAACACTTAGAATAACGTAAAATTCGACCAATGAAAAAATTATTATGTTTTAAAACTTTCTCATGAGTTATTCCCTGGTGATAAAAACAGACTTTGCCAAAGAGTGCTTTCTTAATTTTTATGGTTACACTAGTAAACACCATACTGTAAATGGAGATCAGCAGATTTCTAGGTTTGACAAAGTAAGTTCTACAAACATTTAGAACCTATTTATCCCACTTGTGGGTGTGCAGGCTAATTTTTAAAGAATATTTCTTTGCTTTTATGAGAACATGAGCCTAAATTGTTTTCGTAGTTAGAATGAGTGAAATGATGCTGTTTACAACTTAGATTTTTATCGTCATCCTAATGTCTAAAACTAGTCTTGAAACAAAATAATTATTTATTTTTAAAACGTATATATGTGCAAAGTTTTATTTAAGTAAATCAAACCAATCTAAAGTAAATATTTCTTACTCTAAGTTGCCACCTGAGAGACAAACCGTTCTTCGCAACATTGTTCTATAATATTTTGTTTAGCTAGTGGTGCATCCCGAGTTAGGAAAATTCTCTGTTTAAAGCAAACGATGAATGTTTATTACTCGATACAAAATACACTTTTTATTTCTAGGTTAGGCCTATTCTGTATCAAATCATAGATTACTTATTGATTCATGATGCTACATGAATTCGAACGTTTAGTTTTTTTCAGCAAACGTAAGCTTTCAAACATAAATACTTTACGTTTTGTTTATTTCTATTTAACGAAACCCAAACTGACATTTTAACACTACTGTTACATAACTCTCTCTTAGGTTTCATGGCAATATAAATATGCTCTGAGAGGCTACTTTTGAGGAACCGCCCACAAAATTTTGAACACTCCAATTATTTGTACATGCAAAATAGACTGATCATATTTTGTGTGTCATGTGATTTCTTAAGCGTTATAAATACAGAAAAATATATCTTGGTTGGTATGAAATATATTGAGTGAGAATAGGGATTTCTTCAAATATAAAAGGGCCCTTCTAATAGAAGTATCTTTATGAAAGACCATATCTTTGACAAGCTTTTCGAAGATATTTGTGAACTGAGTTTTACGAAATTGGTAATAGAAAAAAAATCATGTGGTTTGGGAAAATAATGCTTACCAACCTCTGAAAGAGCAGATTGGACACAATTAATGTAAAGGCAATAGCCCTCAAACTGTGGCTTAATGTATTAATTACTTCAAAACTGGCCAGAATTCGGCTACCTCCAACTGTGATAGTTGAAGGTGATTACAAAAAGTTGTCATTTAGAATCTGGTGATTAGTATAAAAAACATTTATTTCAAATACATACTGTAAAGCACGGTTCCAGTGTTGCTTAGAGCACAAACTGTAAAGAATGATTGACTGAAACTGTGTACTGTGGTTTAATGATTCGAGTTTACCCATTCTCTGTGTTTATATAATAAAGGAAACCCTAAACAAAATCACATTAAGCATCTTGTTCTGCTGTATTATTTTGACAGTTGCTGGAGATAGTGTAATAGTGTGAGGAATGTTTTCGTGATATTGTTTACTTTTTTTGACTCTTTTAGAAAAGTAAATTACATGTACAGTCTACCTTCCAATGTTACATTTTCATCTTGGTGCACAAAATCACATCTAAATTGATAATGTATCATTTCATCAAGCTAATATTATTTGAAATTGGTATAACGAGAGTAACAATGACTTCAGTTATTTATCTTGTACAGTTATCCTCTGCCAATATTTATTTAATTATTTGTACACTTATACTCCTTGTCTTAAATCTAACAAAACATCTTCGATTTCTTCTGGAGTCAATGAGTCAGTGATCGTTTCTAGAGGTGGTTCAACCTAATATTTTGGTGTGGGTATTAGTAAAACGTCAGTCAGTGACTCAGATTTTACATACAGAAGTTAAAAATATAATTCATTTTGATCTTTTGGTCAGTGGTGGTTTTGGTAAAAAACTGTAAATACTGTAATTAAGATATGAAATACACACACACATACTGTAAAAATGTATCATTTTTATTTAAGATTATGGATTTTTACTTTCACGTTGTAAAGCGCTTTTATTATTTTTTGATGAAAACATGTTATCTTAATGCATAAGTATTGCACATTATTCAAGACATCACAGAAAGTAGTACTTTGTACAATAGAGTAAATTATTTATGTTTTTATTTGACGTTAAAATTTTTTAAGTACTATAAATCTTTTTTCTGTGTAAAACATATTGATGATGTATACATATTTGACTAAGATAAACAGTTAATGCTTCGTAATTTGGAATATTTCTGTTAGGGTCATACGGGACCAAACGTGGAACAAATCAATTTTGGAAGGTAA